TGTGGAACCACGGGACCGCCCGAGGGGACACAGAAGGCGGCCGGGAGGGTGTCTGCAGACCACGTCCCGGAAGCCGGAGGAGACCTTCTCCCAGAAACTCACTCCTGTGTCTTTGCTGCCAGGATTCGCCGTGACTCAGGGAAGTTCTCCACTGGGCGCCGTCAGTGTTGCTGGGGAGTGAAACTCCCCAGGAGGAGTGGACTCTGGATGCTGGGCCCTGAAACAGAGGCCCTCAGGGCTGCGCCCTCTGCAGGCCCCGCCCGGCAGAGGCCGCAGGGGCTGTGGGAGGGGAGCAGAGGTGTGTCCCGCGGGGACAGCGACAGCATTTAGGGGGAAACCCAGGGACGGCTGGGGGCTGGGGGCCCTTGCACCTGCTAGCTGGGCGACCGTGTCCCGGGAAGAGGTGATAAACGTGGCCCCGATTTCACAGAGGACCGGCGAGGCGATCGAGCGTGAGAATCAAGGTGCCGTGGACATACAGGCCGAGCCACACGGCCGTGCTTTGCTTTCCTCACGGTGAGGGGACTGTCCAGGCTCATGAGACTGCCTTCCCCCCATCACCCTGGGAAGACGGCACGGCTGGCGTCCCCGGGGAACGAGGGGCAGGGTGTGCTCCAGCCCCTGCGCCTCCACAGCACCCTTTGGCCTCGCTCGCCACTCACATGGACCTGCCAGTTTTCCAGTCTACAACTTGACACGCGCCGCCTGGGCTTTGTGTAACTTCTGTTCTGCTTCTGGTTGGATGTGAGAAACAAAACCTTGGCAGAGCGCTGAGGGAGCTGGGCCGTTGCCCGGACACCTCCTCTGCCATGTCCCCATCCCTGCGCTGGCAGGTGGGGCCGTCGCCCACCTCAGGGCAGGGCGGGAAGGAGGTTCTGCAGGTCTCACCTGGGTTGACCCCCGGCTTGGCCCCTGCCGACAGGACGCCAGTGGCTGGGCAGGAGGGCCCTTCTGCAGCACCAGCGCCCCGGCCTCCGCTCCTCTGTGGCCCGGGTTCCGTGGGCCCCCGCTCCACCTGCGACTCCGAGCCCGGCCAGACGTGGGCCCTCCAGATCCCGGCAGCCACGGCAGCTGTAGAAAAGTACACTCCACCACCGAGCAGTTGGCGTCTCAGGAGATGGGATTACATTTGGGGTTTCTTCCTGCGTTACGCCTGGGGAGACCGGAGGGTTAGTCTGTTGTCCTCCACGTGTGGGGTGAGCAGGGCCCCTGGGCAGGTGTGGACTCGTGCTGGGGTTGCCTGGGCCTTCCAGCTCTCCCTGCCCCTTCCTGAGACCACAGGCCGGTGCCACAGGGCCCAGCTCTGCCGCTGGCATCAGAGTCTCTGGGCATCAGTTGCATCTTCGCTGCCACTCAACAGCAGCGCAGGCGAGACCCTCGAGGCACCTCCCTGGCCCTGGGCGTCCACTGCCGGCACGGTCACTTGAAGACAGAGGTGGCTGTGGCCCTTCTGCCGGGTTCCTCCGGCATCTTAAATCACGGGCGCGTCTGTCCTGAAGACCCATGCACCGCGGGGAGGGGGGCTGGTCTGCTTGCTTCCACCCCTGAGGTGACCCAGTGTACTCGGCAGATGCCACCCACAGCCCGGCGGGAGGCTGCGGGGCCACGTGCCTCGCTGAGGTTCTGCTTCCGTCCTCTTCTCTGGGGGCTTCGTGTCTCCACCGCCCCTGGGCAGGGGTGAGTGGGGAGCCCCTGAGAGGCCAGACACCCCAATTGTCTGAGGCCAGGCTGTGCTTTCCGGGAGATTGGGCAGAGCAGGGCCCAGGTCACCGGGTGAGGGCAGGGCCACACGGCCTCCCCCTGCCCCAACCCCCAGACCCGTCCGTGTGGCGCTCAGCTGTGGGAGAGCTTCTGAGCCAGGCTCCTGCCCAGGTCTGGCCACTTGCCCCAGCGTGGCTTCGTTTCTCGGGGCTCCTTGAAGCTGCTGGGTGCCAGCTGTGCCCTGTGCAGAGGCCTCCTCGAAGAGCCAGGGCCATGTGCCGCCCTTTCCTCACTGCTTTTGCCGGGTCGTGGGGGAATTGGGGGCAGGGGAGAAGGCGAGCGGGGTCCTTGGTCACCCCTGAGGAGCGTCCTTTCTGAATTTCCTCCTTGCTTGGGCCTATGCCTCGTGCGTTGGTTAAAAACCAGTTGTTGCTGGCGGGGTGGCCTGTGGTGCTTGGGGGTTATCACCTAAGATGCACAGATCACCGTTGTCAGCAGATCACAACTTTAGTTTTTAAAAAGGCAGTTTAAGGTACTTTTTAAGGAAATAACAGTTTACAGAAAACTCTTTGTAAGAAAATGGAAAGCGTGACACGCTTGTGGGGCCTGAGGTGGAGAGCAGCCCCGGGTTGTAGTTGTGGGAGTGGAGAGGTCGCCCCAGCCCGGGGACGCGGAGAGCAGGGAGAGCCCCTCAGACACCCGGGCCCCGTGGCGACCCAGCTTCCCTCCCCGTGGTCCGCACCCGTGACCTAGGTCCCCCCATCCCCGGGCTCCCCAGAGCACACAGGGCAGCAGGGGAGGGGTCTGAGACTCGACGGAGCCCCGGTTCCTGTGAATAGGAGGGTGAGTGTGGAGCAAAGTGAGCTTTTGGCTCCTGGTCCGTGGAGTGGGGGGTGTCTCTTCTCTCCGCGCCACCCCCCCCCCACCCC